TCTTGTTAGTTCATGAAACAAACATACCATTCTACAGATAATTTATTGGAGAATGATTCCGTAACCTTCAACAATCGATTTTGTGTAATAGAAATAAAAAAAAAAATTAAAATAGGCTTAAATTTTTCCCGTCACTCAATAAAATGACGTTTCAACTTGAAAACACGGTAACTTGAGAATAAGCCCATCCTCTAAGATACTTTTTCTTTTAATAGATTTGACTTGAGCTTGAAGAATTTGGGATGGGAAATGGTCTTTTAACTCTGTGTCGTTTAATTATAATTAATGCAAAACGAAACTTGGATTTTTTTTTCATTACTAAGCATTGAAAAAATCCAACGTAGATAGATCTAAAAATACTTGTCATACAAAAAATGTGGGGTTTGTCCAACTCCTGGCATAGATCACTACTAACTTTGTAATAATGCCAACCTACTCCCACAACGAGAATAGTTGCGTCTAAATTATTTGTTAACGGCTTGTGTAGAAACTACATTGATTGTATGCAGCTTCTAACCCTCTTACCATTTCACATTTCGTTTTGTAATACAAGGTCTATGAACTTTTTTTACATGCCTATGATTAAAACGACTTTCGCGCTGGCTTTACCGCTCTACAGACAGATTATATAACATGAAGTTACACGTGAGTGTAGAGAACGAGTGACCCTTTTTACTGGGAACGAGGCATTCCATCTTAGTCATCATACTTAGTGCATTATGATTCCTAATCGATGGCAGATGTATGTATATAAGCCACAGCAACCACTTACCATCAGGTCGCTCTGTGCGCTCGTTTATCACCCTTATCCATTAAAAAATCGGTAATAGAGGTCCAAAGCCTGCAGTACCCAGTTACTTAAATTGACACACTATCACCTTAATTTTTTTGCTATAATATCGCAAATCCCTGGCATGGCATACGTTACGTCAAGGAACGTTCAAAATAAAACGCCGTTTTAAATAATTTACTCGTTTAAATATATATTTCTATAATAGAAATCTGTTACGTATTTTACATAAATAGTTATTGAGGGCAATCCCCGCAAACCGTTTTGTCGTATTAAAAATACAGTATTAATTATAATAAAATAATAAATTAATTTTAATATTAATAATACAATGATCTCGATAACAATTTAGCGATAATATCTTTGGCTAAGTAAGATTCATTTGTGAATTATGAACAAAATAACGTTCGGGGCACCTGGTTGCATCAAGTGGCAGGACCTGAATGCCCAACACAGCTTTTTATAAGTCTGTCAATTTGACAGCTGTCACTGATGAAAGCTGTTGAAGATTTAGGACCTGTCACAGGAAATGGGGGCAAAATGATCACACAAGGCGTTAGTACAATTAAAAATAATGAGTCATAAGGCTAAAAATGCTTACGTGACAACGCTATGAAACAGGAGCCCCAACGCATGATCAACAACAACAAATATTATAGTATATATGTATATAAAAAAAAAAATATGAGAAAACAAAACAATCACGCTATAACGAAGCATACCTTAACTAACCTCACAATTTATTTTTATAGCAACACTGGGTTCGCCGCGAAGCTCCCTTGCTTGAAGCAATTTTAAAAATTCACTTCACGTGTGAATTTTTTAAACTTAGAGCGGCTGCTTTGAAGTGCCATCACTACAAATTTCCCTTGCCACGTTGCAAACGGTTTATTATGCAGTATTCTGAATTGAAAACACACAGGACCAAACTTTTGTTCTTCATGTGAGGCAATGTAACTAGCAAACTATTAAATTATGATCAAACAATTCCATTAACATCCAAATAATGTATCACTGATAACAATTCTCATAAGGCACCCTGCCTAATCTAATGGCACATCTGTTAAGTTTACAATACATTGACAATGCAGTTAATTTGATCCTGTGTATTCACGAGTGCTGAAATTGGTTCACAGCACGATTTATCTCCAATATCTTTAATACCTCGCACAAAACATCAAAACTAATTTCTCTGTTTTTATTTAATGAGTGATGACTGATGAGACAGTAGACATTTTAGTAGTAATTCGTCTCGCCTTTGTACTGTTGTAAAATAAGCCTTATTTAATTAAATGAGTGGATACAACAATTATAACTACTAGTTCACATTCTCTAGTAGGGTTTTGTCTATGCATTACACGATACAGAGAGGGACAGAACTATACAAAGAAATGAGATAAACTACACACTGGTAGCTATCTAACATGGTATAAAACTGCGGATTTTATTTTATAAATTTTTGTCCAATCTATGCTGCGTAGATCGGATCAAAAATTAATGACAGCAATTTAAAAAAAAAATAACATTGAACACGATAAAATCCGTAAAATTAGTTTTATTCCATTTTTAGTATCCGCGTAAACATAAGATTCCTTATCATTAGCTGCCTTACATATAGCTTTGTCCCAGTTCGACTTATCTGCGTAGCGCATAATATAGTTTCTCTGTTAGTTTTGTATAGTTAAACATTTCATGAGGATCAGTAGTGAATGCCAAAATATAATTTTAGAATTAGATATTAAATAAGTTTGTTTGTGCAAAAATTTTAATTGTGATATTACTGGTCACAAACAATTTCGACGGTTTATTTTTAAAGTTAAAAATAAAAACAAGATTAAATGTATGCATCCAAGTAAACAAAATAGGATTTGGCCGTTTTTTCTTACATTTGTTTTAGCAGGTGTCGCGTCCCTAGATCAAGAAAATACCATTTGGCAAAGAATAAAGACAGCGCAGTTGGCAATAAAAATTAGTTAGTGGTTTTGAATATTAGGTATTAATTTAATAAAATAGTTGATACACCTTGTTGTTGATCCCCATATTCTTGGCTTTAGAGTTCGAACGGCAAGGCATCTCTAAACGTAAAACCTTAGATTTAATCAACAACAGATAATATATTTGTATTAATAAATAAGCTTTACACGCGTATTTACAAGAAGGACGATTCTTCAACGCTCGCAGATGAATTGTCCTTAGAAATATTTTTATTTTTCTAACAAAAATTTGTTTTTTTTTTAAATTATATTATACTAACTCGTTTTAAGGTTGCAACACACGGCCGTTATGGTAACTGAGGCTTAAATATTAAAAATAAATATGCTCGTTTCTAATAGAAATACACAACAAGAATTACAACTGTGTGTTGCTACCCTAAGTGTAATCGACCTTTATATTGCTCGGTACAATGCAGAGGCAATTTGGTGACATATCTTTATACTTGGACCACCAAAGAAAGAAAGAACACTACTTTTCAAGTGACGCCAAAACAATGACTACACATATGCACATAAAACCAGAAAGTTGCCATGATTTTAGATGCATATGTGTGTGTTCTTACAACACTATATAAATGGTTTTAGCATAACTTGAAGCGACCAATCTAGCTTCCTTTGTAAGTCGAATTTTAATAAAATACAAACTAGAGTAAATTCCCGTTCCATCACGGCTTCAGCGGTTAATGTAAAAGCTTGGTAGGATACATTTACTCAGTGGAACACGTAATATTACGGTACTTATTAATTTCACTTCAAGCAAATCATTTAGACTAAATATAGTTACTTTATTGGACGCTATCAGAAACAAATGAGTGACTTATCCTCAATTACAATTGTCTATTAGTTGTTTGGTGTTTTTACTGATGTTCACAGCCCCCTAAAACCGCCAATATTTCTTTATATTTTATTATATTATAATTTTCCTAGACTGTAATACATATTTATCACTGAATCAACTTCTTCTGCCTACAACAGCTGAAACCTAGATTGTCAATTATGTGTTCATATAACTAGACGAAATAAGAATAAATTAATAAGTATAATAATTTATATATTTTAATTGAAGAATTGACATTAGGAGAGCATTGTGAAAATTGTGAGAAAGAGTTTTAAAAGTTAAAAAAATAGTTTTTGTACATAAACGTGAGAAATATTTTGTTAGTGGAATTTTCAAAACTATTTATAATAATTACGGTACAAATAATCTTCATTTAAATACTCGGCTATAAAAAAGGAAATTTGTGATAACATCAGTTGTAAATATCCCCGAGAGAGCAACTATAAATTGTATTTAAGTGGTTTATATAGATTATGTTGTAGGCAGTAAAGTTATAGAATGAATACCATTGACTATTAGCGGGGAGAGTCAAGTTGATTTTCAACCCTTAACGCTAATACAAAACTAGAAAATAAATCAACATTACGACATGTGACATGACTTAATTGAGTTGTCATTCTCATTTCTACAACGTTTTTATTAACTCGCTTTCGTGTGTCTGTTCGGGTGGAATTTAATAATTTATTTTAAACTAACTTCCCCATGAGCTGGAGACATTAAATTTTTAACATAGTTTAGAATCGGATGACAATGTAAGAATACGAAAAAAAATAAGTGATATGTATTTAAAAATAAAAGTGGAACAACCTAAAAATTGCGAGTAAAATTGCTTTGCAATAGCGCCATCTACTTCATTCAAAAGATAGTCATTTTATCGAACAAAAATTGATTGACTCAAGGTGGTACGTAAAATAGACGCTAGGTGGCCGAAACACGACTAATTTAATATAATATTCTATCTCATTGTCTCGCACGCTAAATCCTACAGAAGAGAAACACACACGTTTCTCTTCTTAATGTCACTTTTCGTTTCATTGACTTTCAAATCACAACGATTGTAAATAAGTTTTCACTTCAATATTATACGTTTAAAATTTAATACATAATTTTTTTAAATTTCACTAGTTTATAGTTTTCCATTAGCGTTAACGATTGTCGAAAATTAACTTGGCTATACCCATAGATTATTGAACAGGTATCAGCTCTTCCCCTGCACACTGTATAGATTGGAGCCAGTTAGTTTGGAGGTACAGCTGATGGTCCCTCGGGAGCGTGTGTGTCAGAACAGCTGGATGTAGGAGAGGCAGCACAGTGTGCGGCTGGTGTGACTCCTAGTGGTGTGGTGGGCGGCGGTGGGGGGGTGGCGGGGGAGGGGGCGCTACGAGCCCCGCGCCAGTTCGTAGAACAGCACGTAGGCCTCTGGCGACACAACGTTGCGGGGATTGATGGGTGTCACTCTGCAAAAAAGAGATAAGTAGCTCAGGGGCTTAGCACTCGCTGTAAATTTTACAGTATGCGGGCTTTACATACATACATAATATATAAATCATAGAAACAGGTCTTACTAGCAACGACTTAAAATAAAAAATTGTGGTTGCTTGACGAGCGTAGCAAATATCCCTCTCAAATGAAGTAATCTTTGGTTTTATTTCTTTTATAATAAAACATTATTATATGTTATATCCTGTAACGTGGGGGGCAGTTTACATACATAGATTTAACAAGGATAAACTTCTAAACCCAGGACAATAATTATTTGTAGGTCATATAAATACATGTTCCGTGCGGGATTCGAACCCGCGGCCACTGCACTCAACTCATTGCTAAGCCACTGCGCTACGGAGCCATCTATGTCCGTATATGTTATTATTGTACTTCTATATGTTTGACTGTAGAGAATGCCATAAGGCATTAAGTTCGCCCATTATAATCCTTACATTAGAGTGTGTTACAATAAAGATTAAATAAATTACCTGGAGTCGTTGTACTCGTGCCACTCGCCCGTGTACGGGTGTTTGCAGTACGCTGTGTAATGACCCGAGTATGTGGTACCTGTAACAGAATATACAAATTTGTATTATAACTAATTTTTTACATATTTTTCTTCCGTATCCGTATAGCGACGGCGTAAGAGAATTCACAACCACATATCAATCGAAATAGGCATGATGATAAGCAGCATCTTCCCGATTACAACTATAAAATGTAAAAAAACTTGGTTCTCATCAGTGGCAAATCCTTCCCTTAGATTGGCTCAAATGAATCCCAATGCAGTATAAATATTTAAGTCATATTAATTAAAAAATTACCCTTATTCCGTACAGTGTAGTGGCGGTGTAAGAATATCCACTACCCATATCATCCCGTGGGTGTCGTAAGAGGCGACAGAGGGAAACAAATCGGGAAATGAGCGTCAGCGTCTTCCTTCGAAACAACTCGAAACTATAAAAACTGCCGTTGCCAACCCGCCTGCCAAGCGTGGCAACTATAGCAGAATCTTCACTTTGAGTCAATTTATGGGAATGCCTATATTCAGTAGTGGACTTAAATAGTCTGTAACATAATTAAAAAATTCTAGGTGATGGTTAGTTTATATTAAATTAAATTCTTATGTTTAGTTATGCAAAAAGCAAACCATGCTTTAAAAATAAGAACTAATAATATGTATAAAATATCGAACCGCTGAATACTGTTATGTTATAATTAATACAATATCTTTATACATATAATTCATATTTCCGTGTGTTTGTCACTGCGCTCCTTCCTAAACAGCTGAACGGAATTTGATGATGTTTAGATTCACAATTGGATACACATAAATGATTTTAGTGTACCCAAGGCTTTCCTCAAGGCAGTAAATTTAAAAGTTTGCGTGAGATGGAGAAGTGTGAACGAGACAGAAATCCTATTTCCAGATAGTCCAAAGGCGCCACAGGCCATTAATTACAATTTTTTTGCTTTTAATTTAGGATTGGTTTTTTTTTAGAAGAGTTTTAAATTAAACATTAATTATTAAATTCTAAGACTTATTGCCGTGTAGTGGCGGTCATATCTTCCCGTGGGTGTCGTAAAAGGCGACAAAGGGAAACAGGCAGGAGAAGGGCAGCAGCATCTCCCTGACAACAACAAACTTACAATAAAAAAAACTGCGGTTGCCAACCCGCTCGCCAAACGTGGCAACTATGGCAAATAACCCCCTATGATGAGAGTAACAAAGAAACGGCCACCAGTCCCCGGCGGCCCCGCTATTCCTGGCTACGGTGGCGACCATGGTAACGGCGGGGCAGGGGGTGCTAAGAATCTCCGGTGGAGGTTCGTTGCCACCTAAGACGACTCGACTTGGCAACATACAACGCACGCACCCTGAGGACTGACGAGAAGATCGTGGAGCTGGAAGAAGAGATAGACAGTTACGCTGGCATATTATAGGATTATCCGAAGTCCGAAGAGAGGGGGAGGACAGCGTAATCCTCGAATCCGGCAACTTGCTCTATCACCGGGAGGGCGTCACCATCTGTCCCAAGGAGGTGTCGGATTTCAACAAGTCTCTCGTTAACAACATTGTAAAGATTGAGTGTGTCGACGAGCGTTGCGTACCTTATTCAGACCTTACCTTACTCAGAATCACCAAACAGTATTCGCTGAAGGTCATACAGGTTTACGCACCAACCTCGGCAAACCCCGATGAGGAGGTGGAGGAAATGTATGAGGATATCTCTAGGGCCATGCATTCCTCCAAAACCCAATATACGGTGTTAATGGGAGACTTCAATGCAAAACTAGGCACAAGAGAGAACGGTGAGCTGAAAGTAGGGAAATTTGGAATAGGACAACGGAACCCAAGGGGCCAGCAGCTGGCCGACTTCATGGAGAAAGAGGGACTCTTTATGATGAACTCTTTCTTCCAGAAGCGGCCCCACAGGAAGTGGACCTGATCGAGCCCCGACGGTTCCACAATAAATGAGATTGACTTCATTATGACGACCAGACGACAACTGTTCAGTGATGTTTCCGTGATCGCGAGGGTGAAAACTGGTAGCGATCACCGAATGGTTAGAGGCACACTGAACCTAAACGTTAAGTTGGAGAGGTCTCGTCTAATGAAGTCAACGCTCCGTCCCCCTCGTGCTCTGTTCCAGAGTCCCGAAACCTTTCAGCTCGAGCTACAAAACCGTTTTCAGTGTTAAGAAGACTGCATTGAAGTGGACGATATGAACGACAAGCTCGTGGAAACTGTTCATGCGGTCGGAGCTAAGTTCTGCAAGACCCGCCGCAGAAGAACACAAAAACTGCCCGATCACACTCTCAATCTCATGGCTGTTAGACTGGAGATTAAGCTACATTCTTCAACAGATTTGACAGCATACAGGCAACTGAACAGACAGATCTCCAAATGCATGCGGCGGGACTTATGCAACTTCAATACAGCTTGTACTGAAGAAGCGATCGAGCGGAACCAAGGCTCCAAAGTCTTTGCCAGAGATCTGTCTGCCAGAAAGAGCCAACTGTTGAAGCTGAAGACCGATTGTGGCAGCATCGTTTCCGGGGCACCTGAGATTTTGAGTGAGATTGAGAGGTTCTATGGGCAGCTGTACACGTTATCGTTGGAGCCACACGCAAGTGTGAGTAACGATCCAAGAGCGAGTCTTATCCGACACTATTCCGAAGATATCCCGGACGTCAGTCTAAGCGATATTAGAATGGCTCTCCAGCACCTTAAAAACGGCAAGGCCCCAGGCGAGAATGGAACTACAGCGGAGCTTCTAAAAGCGGGTGAAAAACCGGTACTTAAAATCCTTCAGAAGCTCTTTAATTCCGTCCTCCATGGTGGCACTGAACCGGAGGCGTGGAGCCGAAGTGCGGTGGTCTTGTTCTTCAAGAAAGGTGATAACGCTCTCTTGAAGAACTACAGACCGATTTCCCTTTTGAGCCGCGTCTACGTGCTGTTTTCGAGAGTCATTACGAATCGTCTCGCGCGCAGACTTGACGACTTCCAGCCTCCCGAACAAGCCGGTTTTCGAAAGGGCTTTAGCACCATAGACCACATACATACCCTTCGGCAAGTTGTACAGAAGTCCGAGGAGTGCAATTTGCCACTATGCCTGGCGTATGCTATGAGAAAGCCTTTGATTCCGTCGAAATTTGGGCGGTGCTGCAATCCCTTCAGCGGTACCAAGTTGACTGTCGGTATATCCAAGTGCTGAAGTGCTTGTACAGTAGGGCTACGATGGCTATCCGAGTACAGAACCAGACTACGAAACCTATCCAATTGCAGAGAGGATTAAGACATGGTGATGTTATATCCCCGAAACTTCACCGCTGCATTGGAAGACGTTTTCAAGCTTCTGGACTGTAAAGGATACGGTATTAACATCAATGGCGAGTACATCACTCACCTTCGATTTGCCAACGATATAGTCCTTATTGCAGAATCGCTGGAGGAGCTAAGCACCATGCTCAATGACCTCAATAGTGTCTCCCAACGAATAGGTCTTAGGATGAACATGGACAAACATGAATACGCCGGTAGTTGTTGGGAGCACTAAGCTCGAAGTTGTTGACGACTATGTTTACCTGGGACAAATGGTCCGACTAGGTAAGTCCAACTTCGACCGAGAGGTCAGTCGACGGATTCAACTCGGTTGAGCAGCGTTCGGGAAACTACGACACATCTTCTCGTCAGACAAACCTCAAAACGAAATAGTACAACCAGTGCGTGTTGCCAGTGATGACTTACGGATCTGAGACGTGGTCCTTCACTGCTGGCCGTATGAGGAAGCTCAAGGTCGCTCAGCGAGCTATGGAGAGGGCTATGCTCGGGGTTTCTCTGCGTGATAAACTTAGAAATTAGTATATCCGCAGTAGAACCAGAGTAACCGACATAGCCAAACGGATTAGTAAGCTGAAGTGGCAGTGGGCCGGCCATATAGCTCGAAGAACCGACAACCGATGAGGAAGAAAGGTTTTTGAGTGGCAGCCTCGTACCGGTAGCCGAAGTGTAGGACGACCCCCCACGAGATGGAGTGACGACCTGGTAAGACATGCAGGAAGTCGATGGATGGAGGTGGCTCAGGACCGTGCTTTGTGGCATTCCTTGGGGGAGGCCTATGTTCAGCAGTGGACTTATGAAAGGCTGTAATGATGATGATGATGATGATGATGAAGATTTATTGCAACAAATGTTCAAACTGCCTTCCTTCAGCCGCAACACAAGCCCGATATCTTCTTAAAAAAGATCGGGTTATCAGACGAACAAACTTTTCCTTTTAACGCTCCCCAGTAAAAAAAAAATCATCTGGTAGATTTAAGTAGATTGAACGGGCTGACCACGAGATTGTACCAGACCACCTTATCCATCCGCCCAGGTATTTTTCATTGAGATATTGTCTAACTCCGAGCGGGCATAGTGTGTCGGACAGCCGTCTTGCTGGAATCACATGTCTCTGTAAATGGTTAATGGCACGTCTTCCAACAAATTTGGTAAATTGTTAAAAAGTCTAAATAAACTTCGCTATTCAAACCTTCTGGTAGCTCAAAACGTCTAATGATGTTTCCATTTAAAATTCCGGTCCACACTTGTTGTTTATTAGTTATTGTTTATTTTGAAACGATAATGTGACCTATGTATACAGATAATGTGTAGAGGGGATTCATGTAACTAAATCTTTTAAATATCGACTCATCAGACTATAAAATTTTACCTTCCCGGTTTCTGTGTGTCATTGTTTAAGAAAATGCAATTCTTGGAAAATAATCCCGGGGTGATAAAGTTTGTACTCGCTGTAGGTGATACGGGTGGAACTTTATTTTTTGCAAGATTGCACATTTGTAAAAACTCAATGATCCGGATAACGAGCAGCATTTGGGTACGATAAACTATAGCTGCAGCATTGTCTCTGCATTCCCCATATATAAAATGCATGCTGGCATGTTCCTGTGTGGTGTACACAGACATGATGGCACTACAAAATCACATGATCAACGATAGTCCAGGGAAGAGCAAGCAAGGTCGTCAGAAAGACAAACTAAACAGTCCAAATTCAAATCACAAGTAATCAAGTCCAATAAACGAAGCAAAAGTGGTAAGTACTAAATCGTCACGAAGAAATACGGAAAGATGCGCAGTAAACGACGGAGCGTAACGTACTGCTATTTATATTACTATTGTATGTGCGTTAGTATAGATGGACAACAGCGACTGTTGTCTCGCTCGCACTAGTCGAATGGTCTATAGTCTGTTCATTAAGATAGTGTCAGTACACCCGAAGGCGCATTTATTATTTTGTTGTAATAAAATACGAATATAAATAATAAACACAAGTTAGGTAGCAAAGAGAATTTAAATGAAATATATATGAGTAGGTAGGTAAACATAAATGAAAGTCAAATTGACACTATTCTTCATCACTCAAAGTGTCGGAGTCATTGCCACCTGTAATTAATAATAAGGTATTCAACGTCATTACGTTCTGAATCCATATTAAAATAGTATTTTTGTTATTGGTTCAGTCATAATTTAATTTTGAGGCACTTCACTGTCCTACCAAGAACTAAAAACATTTTTGTTACGTAGTAGAGTCAACAAAAACAACCTTTCAGTAAGGCGTTTCGTTTTAAAAAGCCAAATTTTTGTGCGGGTGTACGCCGCACGCGGCAACTGTTAACGTCGCGATGGCGCTCTTGACGCGATGCGGCGCGTGCCGAGGCGGCGCGCACAGCGGCGACCGTATCTACACATTACCGTATCTCACACATTAATAAAAGTGGCGTCACTATCTGTCTTGCTCACATTTCGTAAAATTACTTTCTCCGTCTCTAACATATCAGTAAAAGTGGCATCGAATGCGCCAGCTTTTAAGGTTACTTGTTCAACTAGCATACATTTTTTTTCAGCACAACCAGTTAAAATTGGGCGAAGTATTAACTTTGACGACTTAATTGGGCTAAAAGAGATATTTTCTTCAAAGCTGGAGATAGAGTTGACTTTAAATTTTAGGCAATAACTTACCGAAGCATTATTCAGGTTTACATAATAGAAAATAAAAGATTTGTAGTAACAAGAGTTAAAAGACTATCAGGATGCATATTTTCTAGATTTTTTTAAAATGCCTACCGGGAAGTTAGTTTAAGATCAATAGCACAATTTATACCAACCAGACAAAAAAGATACCGTGAAACCTGGCAGCAACTTTGCAATTTTTCGAAGGACTTAAAAGTTTAGGACCATTTTCCAACAAAAAATGTACTGTCAGACTGGACGTCAATGTTAAATGAGAGATTATATTCTTCATAGATTAGTTTTAAAAATACATAACTTAAATTTTTTATTTTATTTTTCTGATAATTATCATGACTTGGCCTATCACCTGTTTCCGGCTTGACGTCGATATTTGGTACATTCTGTATTATGGTAATATCACGAATTGGACAACTTGACCGGGGTAAGACCACGTCTCACAGAGTACCATCGTGGAATATCAGTTTATTGTTGCTGTGTTACATATGGTGAGTGTAGAGAACCGGAGACCCTTTTTAATGGAAATAATGTATTCTATCTTAGCTGCATTTTGATTCTTAATCGAGTATAAACGTAGATGTCTACTTACCATCAAGTGGACTGTGTGCTCGTTTGTCACCCTTATTCTTAAAAAAAATGTTATAAGACATAACTCACCAGAGTGGTTGCTAACTGCGTAGAGGTTGTATAGGACCGGTTGTGAGGTTCTGGTAGCTGCAAACGGAGACATGTCGAGCCCGGTGAGAGGGAACTCCACACACACCGACAACTTCCCGCGGAAACGCTCCGTGGGCGAGAACCTGCGTAGAAAGCAAACAATGCCATAAATAAAAACTTTGACAACTTTATACAACTCAACGAGTCACACATCAAAGCGAGAAATTATTATACTTTTTAACACGCTTTTATTGGCTTCGCGTGTATCTATCTATCTACCTGTGTAACGGACACATCTCCTCGTAAGGAATAACTCAAAACTTTAAAACAAGATTGTACAACCAGTGCGTGTTGCCAGTGATGACTTATGGATCTTAGACGTGATCCTTCACTGCTAGCCGTATGAGTAAGCTCAAGATTGCTCAACGAGCTATGGAGTGCTATGCTTTGATGAAGTGGCAAAGGGCCGGCCATATAGCTCGAAGAACCGACAACTGATGGGGAAGAAAGGCTCTCGAATGGCAGTCTTGTACTGATAGGCGAAATGTATGATGGCCCCCTTAAGATGGAGCGACGACGTGTTAAGACATGCAGGAAGCCGATGGATGCAGGTGGCTCCAGGACCGTGGTTTGTTGGCATTTCTTGGGGGAGGCCTATCTTCAGCAGTGGACCTGTGAAGGGCTGTAATGATGTTGATCATCCTGATCAGGATCACCAAGATAAAATATTAACACGCTTTTATTAGCTTCACTATCTATCCTATCTACCTATATGAAACGGAATATTTTAATGTAATTAGCACCAATTTGTAGATGGCCTATTGACTTGAAGGTTTTTATCTCATTTCAAGAACCTATGACAATACAGTAGTTTAATAACTTTATCCTAGTTTCCTGATCAGGATCACCAGGATAAAATATTAACACGCATCCCGTGTAGTAACGGATAAGAATACCTACTACACCATATTTTCCCGTGGGTGTCGTAAGAGGCTACAGATGGAAACTGAAACAGAACATGGGCAGCGGCATCTTTCTGATAACAATAAAAAGCAATAAAAAACTTCGGTTGCCAACCAGCTCGCCACTCGTGGCAACTAATAGCAATATACCTCCCATGAGCAACGACACAAATAAATGGCTCCCAGTACCCGGCGGCCCCGCTATTCCTAGCTACGGTGATCCTGGAGGATTATGATAACAGAGACCTCCAGGACTTTTGTATTATCTAGGAATAAGGGTTCATCCATCTATCACAGGCTATAATAGTCCACTGCTGAACATAGGACTCCTCTATAGATTGCCTCAAAGCAATTTTTTTAATAATTTTTTCAGTTTATCTTTCGTCGTTTCTTGCAATATCCACGGGACGATGTGCGGTAGTGAATATTCGTACACCGCCGATACAAGTTATGGAATACGGATTATTAAAATAAAACTCAATGATTACCTCTTGAGGTGCAGCACCAGCACTTGTGGGAACTTCTGCACCGTGAACCATTTAAGGCACTTACGTCGAACACCGCACTTAGAGCATGTCTGTAAAGTTCGAAGACATTTATAATATATAGCACGAACATTGATTTTTTTTATGGAATTAGAGCATTTTAACATTTACACAGCATCCACTTACCATCAGGTAGACTGTGAGCACATTTGTCAACCTTATTCTATAAAAAAAAATAGGAATAATATCTGCTGGATGGTAAAAAACAGTGATCTTAAAGCAGTATCGTTACATATTGCATATTTCAAGAAATTCGAAAGACATGGCAAGTTTGCAAAAATACTGAAAAGATACACTTACTGGCTTCTCGTCGCCGTCGAGCTCCTCTTCGCGCACAAAATGCTGCAGGCACTGCTGCAGCTTCAAGTTGCCCGTGCGAGATGGGATCGGTAAGCTGTTGAACATTTAAAATCTTAATGTCGGTTACTTGACTGCACACGGTCGGTACTTGGCTGAAGAACTTTGTGGGGCAGTTTATAAACCTCAAGTGAAAAACAAACTTAGCAATCCACCTGATGGTAAGTGGCTGCTGTAGTCCATGGACACTTGCGACCAACTTCAAACAAAGAAGCCTACAGTGTGTTGCCACATAGACTGTAATTATAATGGCTGTTTATATCCTTTTAGGCCAGTACAAAGTGGTACTGGCACTTCTAATTGGAAGCAGAAAGAGGTTAGAGGGTGGTACTAGCCCAGACGGACTAACAGCAATGCACCTTTCTATTATCAAGTTTAAAAAATTGTATTAAAGGGTTATATAATATTTATTATTGATATCGAGTGGCAGCCTCGTACAGGTAGGCGAAGTGTAGGGCGACCCCCACTAGGTCTAGTGACGACCTGATAAGACATGCGGGAAGTCGATGGGGGCAGGTGGCTCAGGACCGTGCTTTGTGGTATTCCATGGGGGAGCACTTTGTTCAGCAGTGGACTGTGAAGAGCTGTAATGATGATGATTGATAATAAGTCCTAGGAATGAGGTGTTTGGTAACAATGTGCAATATAAAATTATTACAATTAAAAAAGTTCCTTACAAAACTTTACCCATAACCTAGGAGTATGGTAGTTGACACTTGTATTTTTAAACAATTTCTATTGGAATGTCGGTTTTGATAATTCTTATCTAAATATTTCAGTCGACTTGTGTAAAATTATTATAATTTAAAAATGGCGACAGTTGTAGACTGTCTCTAGCTCATGGGAAAGTAAAATCAATTGAAAAATTTGTACCGAACAAACAAACAAACGGAGAGACGAGACAGCGATTTTATACAATACATTGTCATCCAGTTTTGAGATGTTTTTAAAGTTCTACTCCATATCGTCCCGCGGGTGTCGCAAGAGACGACAGTGGAAAACGGAACAAGAGATCGGCAGCAGTATTTTCCTGATAATGACTTAAGACTTTCACTGTCCGGATTCTGACACAATAGTAAGTCAATAGCAATGGCCTATATAATATGTAGTGCGCGGGACAGCGAAAGGGTTAAATAACAAAAACTGCGGTGGACCACTCGCCTGCCAACCGTGGGAACTATGGCAAACCCCCCTTTTAAGGCAATCTATGGAGGGAGCCTATGTTCAGCAGTGGACTTTTATAGGCTGTAATGGATATTAATGTAGAATGACGATATGTTGATAAGACAAACCTGAGATCCCAGAAGGGGTCGAAGGTGAAACTGTCATGATTGCAGTGCGTACAGCGCAGCGTTGACTTCAGCTGTCCCACGAAGATGTCTCCCACACGGCTGTCCTCCATTCGCAGGTATCTGGACCACGCCTCCGTGGCCTTAGCGGACTCGCTGCAATGAAAATATTCCTCCATTAATATCCACATAGCCCGCTATAGTGACCCATTACCGCATATATGACGGCTCCGTGGCGCAGTGGCTTAGCAATGAGTTGTTGTTGCGCTGGGGGTCGCGGGTTCGAATCCCGCACGGAACAAGAATTTTTATGGCCTACAAATAATTGTTCCGGGCCTGGATGTTTGTCCTTGTGCAATTTATGTTTGTAAACTGCCTCCACGACACAGGAGAAAATCTTAGTGTGGGGGTAAGGTTTTTAAATAAAGAGAACATATCATCAAATCAAATCTGTTTATTTTTAACCGGCTTCGAAAAGGAGGAGCTTCTCAGTTCGAGTGTATGTTTTTTGTATATATTTTACGCGATAACTTCACAGATTGTGAATCAACTTTGTGATAATTTTTTTTATTAAAAAAGGGTTATACTTCAAGGTTGGTCGCATAGAGAAAAAATTCCACCCCTAAGGCTAACATATAAATAACTTTTTTTAGCAGATTTTTTTACAGATCTCGATATGTACATGCAAGAAGTCCTTGCTTTGTGGCATTCCTTGGGATAGGCCTATGTTCAGCAGTGGACTTGTGAAGGGCTGTGATGATGATGATGATTATGATAATGTAAATAATAAATTATAAGGTATATTCTATGTCCCGCCAGCAGGTATATAAATTTAAGTTCAAATTGTTTATTGCATGTCACATTACAAATTTAAGATGATACATTTGATAGGTACACACGTGACGCCCTGCAAGGGCATAGCAATTAGCAACACCAGAGGACTAACTATTTTTGTATAATCTAACTTTTAAACATAAATTATAAAATATCATATCATCAACATTCAATATTATTCTATATAAATTACTTAAATTAGAAATACAATGTAGTTGAAGTATTCTTTCTTTGTGATTAGTAATGTAAAACCATAATTTTAAAATACAACGTAATCATTTTATTATAAAATTATTGAAGTGTACACTTCTTTAGCATCGTCGTGATTCGAAACTCAAAGAAACGAAAAAGCGACACTAAAAAGAGACAAACTTATACATCATAGGATTTAGCCCGCGAGAGAATGAGATATAAAACCTACAGTATACAGTATTTATTATAAATTTATTTACATGATACCCTGCATTCGTCTCATTCTCTCGAAGTTTAGTTTTCTGTAGGTTTCACTTTTACCGTGTGTGAACTGCACACATCACGTTTATTTTACTCTAGTGTTGCCAGGTTCTGAGATGTGGGAGCTCATGGGTTTAACAATAACCAACATTTTCAAAATGAAGTATAATGTAATCCATCCCTGTAATCCCTATTAGTATCCCTGTAGTCATATTAGGCAATAGAGGAAAAATGAAACAGGGGTGGGCAGCAGCATCTTTATTAACTGAAAAGAATAAAACACCACTTGTCAACCCATTTGCCAAGCGGGGCAAATGTGGCAAATTTTGTAGAGGTACGTGGCAATCTACGGGGAGACGGACTTCTGATAGGCTGTAATGATGATAATAATGAACAGTTTAAAATAATTGAAATGTCAAGTATGTTGTTTTTTATTAAACCAATTAATATTTATACAAGACTAGCTGTACCCCGCGGTTTCACCCGCGTATATCACGCATCTGCGCCTCGCGACATGCGAACATCGAAAGAGACATCACTACGGACGGTTGCTGAATTAAAAAAAGATTTAAAAAGTGAAAAATGTTGCTTAAATTACATGGTTAACTTAATTGGTGGTGATTTATTTGGATATAAGAACTAATACGTAGGTACGAATAATGTGGCCTACTTTGTACCGGCATTACTATTGAATACTTTAACATGGAAAAGTAGTTATTGTGACATTACTGTAATAGTTAGACTTTTTTGTAGATATTGATGGCTTGTATAAAATCGTAGCACATCACTTTGCTCTATTGTCAATAGTTTCCGCAGCGTACGCGATATAAGGATTCTTTTTGGTATTTTTTCACACCTTGGTTTACATTAACGAAGTTTTCATGCGGATCCCTAACTTTTTTGAAAATATTCTATCGCCTATGTTCATCAGTGATAATGTAGGATTCTAATGGTGAAAGAATTTTTTAAATCGGTCCAGTAGTTTCGGAGCCTATTCAATTCAAACAAATAAACAAATCTTTCCTCTTTATATTATTAAGTATAGAAGAATGAATACAAATTAATAATAATTAATTTAGTGATGGTGTAAGAATATCCACTACCCCATATCGTCCCTTGCGTGTCGTAAGAGGCGACAGAGGGAAACCAGGAGATTAGCAGAAGCGTCTTCCTAAAACAACTGAAGAAGCTGCGGTTGCCAACGCGATTGCCAAGCGTGGCAACTATAGAAAATATCCTTTGAATTAAGCAATCTATGGGGGAGGCCTATGTTCATCAGTAGACTTTTATTAGGCCGTAACGGTAATGATAACAGAAATTAAAACAAGGAGTACCACAGGGTTCCATTGTGGGACACTTTCTTTATATTTTATACACAAATAGCATGATTAATAAATACATGTTTAAACATACAATTTCTTGTAATTAAAAGTACCTAGTTCCATAGCAATATTCTACAATAGAAAAATGCTACAAAAGTGATAAATACCTGAGATTATCGTCGATTTCAGTGAGGATAGGTTTTGGTTTGACTGTGACTCGGTTGACATCCTCATGCAGACCTTCCAGCAAGTAACGAAGGAACTCCTGAAAATAAGTGTTTATAAGATTTACATAAATTAACTGTGGAATTCTTTGTTTGAAGTTTTTTTTAAAAGAAGGGTAAAAACGAGCACACGAACAGTGAACACAGTCCACCTGGATGCTGTGGTCTATACTCGTACACACCTATATTTGTCCTGAATCAAAATCAAAATGCGTTGTCATCCCTGAGAACTAAGATGGAATGCCTCATTGCCAGTAAAAAGGGTCTCCGGTTCTCTACACTCACCATATGAAACACAGCAGCATTGATCTGATATTTTACGCTGGTGAGAGCGTGGTCCTACACCGGTCGAGCTGACCCATTCGTCCTACAAGCACAATATAGTTGTAAAATGACTCTAACATGTAAAAGATGTTGTATTATGGTATACATTAAAAGTGTGGTGTAGTTTCATCGTACCTGTGCATCTTGCTGGCTGTAGCCTATAAAACGCGGAGCAAAGCGCTGGACCTGGGACTTAAGGCTGGTGGTGTTCACGACTGAGTCCTTCTCGCCGCTGCGCCACAACTCCTTGATAACACTCGCGAACGCTGTGACAGCATTAAAACAGAGACAATTATATTTTTCTGTATAGTTATTAATTAATAGTTCCTAGCCTACTGACTGGTAGCAAAAATTAAGTTATAGAAGCCATTAAGTGGATATCGTTACAACCTTCGGCTGAAGCGAAGGACTTCAGTTTAAGATTGGCTAAAATTAATAATTTTTAAACTTTAAAATTAAAGGTTTATATTGACTGTATGAAATATAAAAAGGTAATTTTAAAAATCTCTAGAAGTTGATCTAGAGATGACTGCGTAGCCAAGTCTATCGCGCTCTCGCTCATTCGTAACACTTAGTTCAATTTCCGAGCTTGCCAGAAACTTTTGGCTTTGACCAAAACTTCGGCCTATGGTGGTCGAAGCCGAAGCTTCAGTCGGACACTACTTATTGAAGCCCCGACTTCAGAATTTTTCAAATTTATGTCTTTATATTTTATGTCTTTTAGTTTCCTATAGACGGCATTTACTTTTTACTTAAAGTAATTTTTTAGTATCTTATTTAGCCCACCCATAATTGCTGCAGTTGTAATACTTTGCATGCCTCTACCACGTAAGTTGTTTTATCAATAAACAAGAGTATACTGACTGATACATACCCTTTATGAGCGCGCCCTTCATACAGGAAAGCGTGGTGTTGATCTCTCCTGCATGCTTGTCCTCTGTCAGGTATTCAAGCAAAGGCCGCGTGTTGGACAGGCACTGCAGTACACTGTTCATGAAGCACGTATTCCCGATGTTTCGCAAACCGTTTAGACCTGACCAAATGAAAAATTACTAAGAAACTAAAAACATTGAAGTGATACTAAAGTTAACAGTATATAACTGAGAATAGTGGCTCCTGACTAATCTAAACTTGAGAACTAAGAAGAACTTAGTCAGACGGATTTCTAGGCAGAAAAGAAACTCGGCCACCTAGGCTAATATCTAGTCTGGTTCAAGATTCCAGTTCATGGCGGACTTCACATAATGCCGAAATGCATTCAATTTCTTTAGATATGCAAGTGTCCTTACATTGTCCGCTTTAAGATAATACACGAGTATGATTTTGCTGTTTTGACCCTTTCAAAATATTTCTAAACGTTTTAGCTACAGATAGTAACAAAAACAGATAAATATTTTTACAGTTTTTGTTTATAATATGACCAAACGAGCTCACAGTCGACCTGATGGTAAGTGGATTCTGTGGCCCATAGACATCTTAATTTATCCTCTATTATGAATCGAAATGCAGATGCGTTGTCACCCCTGAGGACTAAGATGGAATGCCAGTGAAAAGTCACCGGTTCTTGTTATCCACCATACGAAACAGCAGTTTTATGCTTATATGCTAATGGACACGTGGTGGGCTGACTCATGTTTTTTTTTATAGAAGAGGGGGAAAGGTTGTCTGGAAGATAACGCTCTTAGCGATAAGACCGCCCATTGTACCACATTTCTTTCTCTCCTTTTTTGTTAATAGTAATGTTTTTTTTTAGCGTACAATAAAGTGTTATCTATCTATCAAACTAGCATGCGGCTCACATAATGGTAAGCGTCGACCATCAATCATAAACAACTGCAACACCAGAGGAATAGCAGGTGCATGGCAACCTTTTAAAGATGAGTAAGCTTTTTTCTTGAAGGACCCTAAGTCGTATCGGTCTGGATAAATCGGCGGTGGTAAACAATTCCACAAAGAAATCGTAAGAGGAAGGAAACTTCTAGTAAATAGCACAGTGATGGACCGCTAAGCATCCAGATGGTGTGGATGGTATCATAAGTTTTGTAGCGATGTTGCGGCTGTAATACGGCAAATGTGCCTCCACCACGTTCAACGTTCACGTTGCTCCTTCTCTTTATGCTTTCGGCTGTCTGGTTGGTCTAGTGGTCGGTTAGGCGGTTGTCAATCTCCTCCTGTCTAAATCTCGGGACTGGGCAAAATCAATTATTGGATTGTTCTGTCAAGAAATACTTAGTAGCAGCCCGGAGTCTGGACGTTGGCGATGTTTTACCGCCGTGAATCTCCGATCATGTCAGATTACCGTGTCATCGGGCTATGAGAGTGAGGGAATAGACAGTGCACCTGTGCTTACACATACAATCGTGCACTAAATCCTCTATAATCCTGTCCTGCGCTGATGGCTAGACTCCGTTTAGACTGGCCGCCGTGACCGAAATTCGGTGTGGAGAACATTATTATTCATTATTATTGTGCTACTGAAGTTACAGATCCCTGAGCGTAACTCACCGCTGGTGTGGCTGGACTGTGTGGAGTTGCGCTCTGTTCGCGGCTCGGACGAGTCCGACCGTTCGCTGCTACGTCGCAGTCCGCTCGGTCCGCTCCTGCCACCGGCCAATTCCTGCACAGTAGTACGCTACACTAGTACTATATAGGTCATTTTACATAACTGTATACCGACTTCAAAATAGCATGGATCGTTGCAGTTGCGTAACTCTAGTGGAAATCGTTTGTCGCAGGGAGTTAGTAACTATTATCTCTATATATCTCTATCAATTGCTCTCCGTCAGTTAGCGTGTTACCTAAAGCTAAAAAACGGCTCAAGCGATTTTGATGATTTTGTGTGTGTTTGAATAGTTCCCTATATGGTTTAGATTAACATTTGGACCTGGTAGGTGGCGCTGCTGTCGAGATCCAAAACTCACCCGTGCGAGCCGGGACCGGATCGCTTGTTATTTTATAAATCTGAAGTGACTAATAAACTCACAGTTCACCCGATATATGTAACTGTATTGATTACAAACCGATGTTTTTTTTTTATTACGAAAAAAAGGGCAGTTACAGAGAGCCAGTATGATTACGAGCTGTGAGGTAATCTTTTTTTATCCTAAGAAGCGACTACGAATCTGTAACCTTCTTTATTTAAAATACAGGTGATTTTATACGTGATAGAGACATACAACAGCTATATTATAATATAGTAGCACAAATGGATCGACTCGACTGGAGAAGGACCACGCTCTTACAGAATACCAGCGTAAAATAGCAGATTAATGCTACTGTGTCTCGTAAGGTGAGTGTAGAGAATCGGCGACCCTTTTTACTGGAAACGAGGCATTCCATCTTAGCCCTCAAGGGTGACAACGCATCTGCATTTTAATTCTTAATCAAGGATATATATAGATGTCTATGGGCCACACCAGCCACTTACCATCAGATGGACTGCGCTCGTGTGTCACCCTTATTCTATTAAATAAAAAATACAACTAGTATATAATAAAACGAAACAGAACGTCAAAACTAATCCAACTTCGATTTCCATCAGAGTTACACAATCGCACCACTAGATAGATATACTTGTTGACTATAAAATATAAAACATACAAAACGATAACGTCCAAATACTCCATCCAACTCTACTGAATTTTAAGATAGCGTTAAGTCTCATGCTGGCTCTGTCTTAAGTCAAAGTAACTGTGACACCACGACACTTAACGAAATCTTAAAATTGAGTAACGTTTGAGTATTTGGCCATGTAAACTAAAAGGTCAAATTGGATCGCCCTCCTTTTGAAGTCGGTTATTATTGCAATGTATAGGGTAACAAAACCAAAGGATTAGGTTCAACGGAATGGCACAATTGGTTCTATTTCTATCTTGGTTACTATAGATTAATAATTTCCTCATTACATGATGCAGAAAACAACATAATAAATAAACAAATTATTCCAATTACAAAAAATACCTAATACATAATATAAAATATATATTTAATATATATTAATGTTACATAGTAAGTTGTTATTTTGCGCATTTCTTTTATATTTAGACTAAGAAAGAATACATATAAAACGACACAGAAAACTACAAGGCATGCTGTATTTAGTAAAAAAACATAAAAAAACAAACCACAGGTAACTTATCTGTAAAAAAATCTGTAAGTTATTGGCTTAGACAATACAGTTTAATTATCATTCCCTGTCAACAATCCAGGAACAAAGTAAAAAACATTTTGGACTCGCAACCTAGGTGAACTAGTTTCATAAGTTTCACATCGACAGCACTGTTAGATCGACGATTTTTAAATGGAAGAATACTCTTCCACCTCGTGGTCTTACTTAGGTCGCAGTCAATCATCGTAGAGCTCGTGGCCTGCGATGAAGCTGTAATAGCCAACTGGCTAACGGTGCGTACACATTATATAACATAACATGTTATAAATCATTGTTTTGTAACATGTTTCAGTAACGTGTAGGCTGAATGTTATAAAACGTGTTATATATTGTGACACAAATGTTATATAACTCGAACGGCAGAACGAGAAACGACAATGTCATATAACATTGTTATATTGCATTGTTATTCTAATGTGTACAGTATTGTTTATTGTTGCAATGTTGAAAAACAATGTTACATAATCTGGACGTGTTATAAAATAAAAGTTAGTCAACATGTTACTTGATCTGTACGCACCCTAACAGCACTAACACTACAGAAAATAGCGCTTTTAAGGGTTTCATAATAACGGCTTGATAGCTAAATACTGGTGGCTGACAGTTCCGCTCTCACTGTTGTCTGTGGGTTCAATCCTTGCACGGAACACGTATTTGTATCATCATTCATCATCATTACAGCCCTTCACAAGTCCACTGCTGAATATAGGCCTCCCCCAAAGAATGCCACAAAGCACGGTCCTGAGCCACCTGCATCCATCGACTTCCTGCATGTTTTACCAGGTCGTCACTCCATCTCGTGGGGGGACGCCCTACACTTCGCCTACCGGTACGAGGCTGCCACTCGAGAACCTTTCTTCCCCATCGGTTGTCGGTTCTTCGAGCTATATGGCCGGCCCACTGCCACTTCAGCTTACTAATCCGTTGGGCTATGTCGGTTACTCTGGTTCTACTGCGGATATCCTCATTCCTAAGTTTATCACGCAGAGAAACTCCGAGCATAGCCCTCTCCATAGCTCGCTGAGCGACCTTGAGCTTCCTCATACGGCCAGCAGTGAAGGACCACGTCTCAGTTCCATAAGTCATCACTGGCAACACGCACTGGTTGTACAATTTCGTTTTCAGGTTTTGAGGTATGTCTGACGAGAAGATGTGTCGTAGCTTCCCGAACGCTGCCCAGCCGAGTTGAATCCGTCGATTGACCTCTCGGTCGAAGTTGGACTTACCTAGTCGGACTATTTGTCCCAGGTAAACATACTCGTCAACAACTTCGAGCTTAGTGCTCCCAACAACTACCGGCATAGGTGTGACATGGACATTGAACATGATCTTTGTTTTGTCCATGTTCATCTTAAGACCTATCCGTTGGGAAACACTATCGAGGTCATTGAGCATAGTGCTTAGGTCCTCCAGCGATTCTGCCATAAGGACTATATCGTCGGCAAATCGAAGGTGAGTGATGTACTCGCCATTGATGTTGATACCGTATCCTTTCCAGTCCAGAAGCTTGAAAACGTCTTCCAATGCAGCGGTGAAGAGTTTCGGGGATATGACGTCACCCTGTCTTACACCTCTCTGCAATTGGATAGGTTTCGTACTCTGGTTCTGTACTCGGATAGCCATCGTAGCCCTACTGTACAAGCACTTCAACACTTCGATATACCGACAGTCAACTTGGCACCGCTGAAGGGACTGCAGCACCGCCCAAATTTCGACGGAATCAAAGGCTTTCTCATAGTCCACATACGCCAGACATAGTGGCAAATTGTACTCTTCGGACTTCTGTACAATTTGCCGAAGGGTATGTATGTGGTCTATGGTGCTAAAGCCCTTTCGGAAACCGGCTTGTTCGGGAGGCTGGAAGTCGTCAAGTCTGCGCGCGAGACGATTCGTAATGACTCTCGAAAACAGCACGTAGACGCGGCTCAGAAGGGAAATCGGTCGGTAGTTCTTCAAGAGAGCGTTGTCACCTTTCTTGAAGAACAAGACCACCGCACTTCTGCTCCATGCCTCCGGTGTAATGCCACCATGGAGGACGGAATTAAAGAGCTTCTGAAGGACTTCAAGTACCGGTCTTCCACCCGCTTTCAGAAGCTCCGCTGTAATTCCATCCTCGCCTGGGGCCTTACCGTTTTTAAGGTGCTGGAGAGCCATTCTAATCTCGCTTAGACTGACGTCCGGGATATCTTCGGAATAGTGTCGGATGAGACTCGCTCTTGGATCGTTACTCACACTTGCGTGTGGCTCCAACGATGACGTGTACAGCTGCCCATAGAACCTCTCAATCTCACTCAAAATCTCAGGTGTCCCGGAAACGATGCTGCCACATTCTGTCTTCAGCTTTGACAGGTGGCTCTTTCTGGCAGACAGATCTCTGGCAAAGACTTTGGAGCCTTGGTTCCGCTCGATCGCTTCTTCAATACGAGCTGTATTGAAGTTGCGTAAGTCCCGCCGCATGCATTTGGAGATCTGTCTGTTCAGATGCCTGTATGCTGTCAAGTCTGTTGAAGAATGTAGCTTCATCTCCCGTCTAACAGCCATGAGATTAAGAGTGTGATCGGAGAGTTTTTGTGTTCTTCTGCGGCGGGTCTTGCAGAACTTAGCTCCGACCGCATGGACAGTTTCCACGAGCTTGTCATTCATATCGTCCACTTCATTGCAGTCTTCTAGGCACTGAAAACGGTTTTGTAACTCGAGCTGAAAGGTTTCGGGACTTTGGAACAGAGCACGAGGGGGACGGAGCGTTGACTTCATTAGACGAGACCTCTCCAACTTAACGTTTAGGTTCAGTGTGCCTCTAACCATTCGGTGATCGCTACCAGTTTTCACCCTCGCGATCACGGAGACATCACTGAACAGTTGTCGTCTGGTCGTCATAATGAAGTCAATCTCATTTTTTGTCGAACCGTCGGGGCTCGACCAGGTCCACTTCCTGTGGGGCCGCTTCTGGAAGAAAGAGTTCATCATAAAGAGTCCCTCTTTCTCCATGAAGTCGGCCAGCTGCTGGCCCCTTGGGTTCCGTTGCCCTATTCCAAATTTCCCTACTTTCAGCTCACCGTTCTCTCTTGTGCCTAGTTTTGCATTGAAGTCTCCCATTAACACCGTATATTGGGTTTTGGAGGAATGCATGGCTCTAGAGATATCCTCATACATTTCCTCCACCTCCCCATCGGGGTGTGCCGAGGTTGGTGCGTAAACCTGTATGACCTTCAGCGAATACCGTTTGGTGATTCTGAGTATAAGGTACGCAACCCTCGTCGACACACTCCCGATCTTTACAACGTTGTTAACGAGAGACTTGTGGACGATAAATCCGACACCTCATTGGGACAGATGGTCGCCCTCCCGGTGATAGAGCAAGTTGCCGGATTCGAGGATTACCGTGTCCTCCCCCTCTCTTCGGACTTCGGATAATCCTATAATATGCCAGCGCAACTTGTCTATCTCTT